GGGGGCGCAGGGGGCTGGGCGGGCCACGCTCTGTGTGTGTCTGTGTGTGTGCAGGGCGTGCACGCATGGGGGTGCTGGGAGAGGGGGGTGCACAGGGAGGTGTGCAGGGCGTCCAGGTATGTGCACATATATGTGCGGGGCAAGGGGAGCGTACCGGAGGGGGGTGCAAGGGGTCTGTGCAGCCACACAAGTGGGCGCTGCACCCATTGCACGCGTGCACAGCGGGTCTGTGTGTGTGGATATAAACCTGCGTGTGCTGGGGGAAGGTGGTGCGTTGCGTGCGTGCGTCTGTGCAGCTGGTCTGTGTTTGCGGGTGTGCGTGTGCACGCACTGGGCAAGCTGAGTGTGCGCTGCACGTGTGCGTGCAGAATGTCTGAGCATGCATACGCGTGTGCACACCGGGAGAGGGGAGCCTGTGCACACCCACCGGGAGCGTGCCCTGTACATGTGCGTGCGCACGCTGCGTTTAAGGTGTGAGTACACCGTGGGGGAGCGGAGGACGTGCATACATTGCACAGAGCCGCTTGCATGCGCGTGCACATGTGCAGCCGTGTGCATTGTCAGAGGGGCTGAGCGTGTGCAGTATGTGCACGCGTGTGTGTGTACGCTGTTGGGGACAAAATAATGTGTACGTGGGAGCTGGGTGCGTGCATTTTATGCGCTTGCCTGCAGGTGTGTGTGATCTGTGTTGGGAGAGTTAGGGGTGTGCAGTGCATGCACAGGCAGGCGTGTGCACTTACGTGTGTTTGGGGGAGGTGGGTGTGTGTACCTGCACTATCAATCCCCTTGTGGGCACGAAGGGGTGTTCAGGCGAGCTCAAAGCACTGAGCCCTGACCTCCATCCACAGGAGCTTGGGGAGTCTCCACAGCATGCTGCAAGCTGGGGCCTGAGAACTGCCCACAGGCTGGGGCTGCCGAGGAGTCCTCCTGAGGGGTGCTGTGTGTGCCCAGACCGTGGTAGAAGGGGTCAGACTGCAACGTGGCCTGGACCACCCAAACAGGCTCCCAGAGCCCTTGGCCCCTCCTGGCATGGGCAGGATGAGGCCACGCATCTCCTCTGTCACTGGAGGGACTCGGTGCTGCTGGCTTGCCCTGTGTCCCTGCTTGCAGCAGGGTAAACTGAGGCACCAGGCTACCATCAGGAACATCTCTGGATGTCAGACAAGGGCGTGAGCTGGGGTGAGCACACAGCATCCCAACCTGCTGCCGCACCCACAGCACCTCACTGCCCTGGGTGGGGAAGCACAGGGCTTCCCTTGCTGGCAGCATCCCCATGCTCTCCCCACACTCCCACTCCACGTGCTTGCCTGCCAGTTTTTTCCTAACCCCTCTTTTCTATGCAGGCAGCTTTGGAAGGAGACAAAGGAGGCACCTGCTCTTCCCCAGGCTTTTTTGGCCAGGGCAGCTCCAAGGCTTGCGTGGGTCCCTGGGGGACAAGCAGCAGCAGCAGCCCACAACACCGGCACACAAGGGACAGTGGCTTTGGTCCCATTCCACAGCCAGGGCAGCTTGTCACCGAGACCTCATGCTGCTGCACTTGGTGGCATAGGGTGACAGGAGTTCTGGGTGCTGAGGGCTGCTGGCTCTGTCCCCTCCGGGGCCACCTGCATGCCACAGGGACCATGGGCAGCCGCCTTTAATGGCCTGGTAGGAGCTGAGTCCTGCCCTTTCCTTGGAGCGTCTTGTGGAAACAGCCACTGGCCACGGCTGCGATGGGAGCTGGCTTTGCTCTCGGGCTCCGCAGCCCAGGCTGAGCCTCTGCCCCCCTTCGCCGCGCCCCTTTGTGGGGAAACCCTGCCCTTCTGGGCTCCCTGGCTTCCCCATGAGCATCTCCGGAGAAACTGTCCCTCGTCCTTCCGCAGCGCTTGTGACCCCCGGGGCTCCTCAGGCTCCTGGCAGCCCAGAGGCACTCGGCACTGCGCAGCATCCTTGTCAGAGAGGCTCTCCCGGAAAAATGAGCCCCTTCCCCGGGAGAGCAGGGCTGCTCCCGACCCTGCAGGGCCCCCGGGCACTGTTTATCTTTGCGCAGGAGATAAAGCAGCTGTCAGCCGTCCCATTTCGAGGCTGGACAGCTGTAGCTGGCCCTGGCCCATCCCATCCCACGGCAGCAGGGGTAGGGACCCCCCCTGCGCTTGCCAGCCCTTCTGAGCATCAGTCAGTGGCTGGCTGATGATCCTGCAGAGCTGACCCTGCGAAGATACGGCCCAGCCCCATCTCAGAGGGACTCACAGAACCAGCCATGCCCCAGGACCAGCCACCCCCCAGCACTTGTTTCATAGGTTCCCATCACACAGGGCTCCAGTTGCCTCCCAGTGCTGCTGCATTGCACCCCAGGGAGGTGGCACGCTCTGCATTGGGCTGTGCCCCATCCCCTGCACACTGGGGCGAGGAGGGAGCTGGGGCTGAAGGCTGAGCTGGGGTGGGTCAGGCATGGGGATGGTGGCAGGACTTCTCCATGGCCCAGCAGGAACCCAGGCATTTGGGGAAGCTCCCCTCCTCCAAGGCAGAGGGGTTGGGGTGCTTGGGTCAACGTAGCACCCAGGGATGGGGGATGTGGCCAGAATGGCTAATGGCAGCACCGAGATCTGCATGGGGTGCAGCGTGTCCCATTGCCATGGGCACGGCCACCAAGGGACCTGGCCCAGCTAGACCAGCACAACTCAGTTCCTCCCTTAGAGCCTCCCCAGTGACAACAGCAGCTCTGGGGCTCTGCACATGTCTCATGAAGCGTGTCTGTGCTCAGACTCTCCCCAGAGCAGCAAGCAGGACCATGTCCCCTCCATCCTCCCGCTTGGCATCTTTGCAGCACCAGGGTCTGGTGACACTCCTACCTGGAGAGAAAGAGAAATCCCCCAGACAAACAGCTATCGACGGCTGCGGTGGAGGCGGCACAGATAGATACTGGAGGTATAGACGGGCACGGCAGACAGTGGAGCAGATTGAGAGATACTTGGAGCAGAGAGATACCGCAGGAGAAATCGGGAGATAGATCCTGTGGGCTGATCAATACCCACTGCATGCAGAGGGACAGCAAGATAGAGCGAGCTGCAGGCGGAAGGTGTTTGGTGGGCAGCGATGTGCATTTGTCCTGGTGACGGCTCCAGGGAGCTGCCGCTTGCCGTCGCTTCAGATGGGGCTGGGACAGAGCCGGACCCATGGTGTAGGTGTCCATGGCAAAGTCTCCTTACCCATCTCTAGCCACCCCACAGGGGTTTGGTGTCCTTTGACGTGCCTTGGGGTCCCACCTGGCCTCTGGGTACCAAAGGGTGCATATGTTCTATGTGTCCTGGTCACATCCTCCAGCCCTGCAGGGGTGTCCCTGCCACCCCCAGGCATCTCACAGGATGCTGAGTGCTTGCATGTGGGCAGCTGGCGGGGAGAGGGGCAGCTTGAGCACGAGCCCTGGTGCAGGGGCTGTGCTGGAGCTGGGTGATGGCCAATGAGTCTCCACCCCATGCCTCAGTTTCTCCACGTGAACCAAATGATGGCAAGCTGCAGGGAGCTGGGCCAGTCAAGCACGGACACGGACATGGGTGTGGAAGAGTGGGGAGGAAGGGGCAGAAGCAGCAAGAGCCTGCAGGACATGCTGTGTCCAGGACCTATCTCTCATCTGCTGGTCACTGGGGACACTTACCTGCTCTGTAACAGGTTGCAATACCCACCCCAAAGGGAAGGGCTGCTTTTTGAGACCCTTGAATGCCTGGCATTTTCCCTCCTCAGTGCTGAGATGAGGACAACCCCTCCTGCCTCAGCAAAGCAGCCAGGGCTCCTGGTCCCAGCCCAGCTCCATCCTGGTGGCACTTCCTGAGCCACCCCGTGCCACCCAGTTTCTCTGCCGGGCACATCCCAGCATGGCTGGGGATGGTAAGGAAGGTACCCTTTGAGCAGCCCTTTGCCCGGACAGGGCTGCCGGCCCTGCGGCCAGGCTGGGGGGGATCCCCCACCCCTGATGGAGTTATTGACACGGGTGCTACGGAAAACACTGCTGAGATTGTTCACACTAATGTTATTTAGCAGCAATATTTCCGTAATAAAAGAAATCAATGGGCAAGAGAAAAGACCTGTCCAGAGCTTTGATTTTCTCATTTTAATGGCATACTTATTTACTCCCACCAGCGTGCCCATTGGATTTTCATTACGCGGCCTTCGCTGTAAGTGGAGCAGTATTGATACGAGCTGCTGAGTTAGCGCCTTCCTGCGCGGGCCGGCACGGGATTGTTAGTGTTCCTCAGCAGGGCCCTGCTAAACCCTACAGAATGGGCATGGCACGGGGCCCGGGTGGGCTTGCAGCCCATGGGAACACACAGGCACACACACACCCCCTGCCCACACATGTTCACACACGTGGTCTGCCCATGGGCACACAGGCGTGCACACATGTCTACCTGGTTGTCCTGCTGGTCTGTACACACATGCGTGCGCTTGCACACATGTGCACACTCGTCTCACCTGCACAGGCACTCACACATGTACCTGACTCGTTTGCATACACATATGTGCATATGCAAATGTCCTACCCGTATGTGCCCGAGCACTCACACGTGTGCAATTGCTCTGACCATATGGACAGACGCCCAAATTGTTCCACCTATATACACACGTGTGCACACGTGTGCAACCCCCATGTGTTCTGCCTATACCCGCCTGCAAACTGTTCTATCTATACGCATGCACACACCTAGGCATGCCTAACTGCCCCGCCAGGGCGCACACACACACACACACAAAACCATGCTGCTTGCACCTATACACACACATGCACACAACCAGTCTGCCAGCACGTGCATGCACGCACATGCACACACACACAGCCTACATACCCTGTGCTTCCCTCCTGTGCCCTTCTCACACCAGAGGGTGCATCTGCGCAAACTTCTCAGGACCACCAACCCACTGCACCTGGGTCCATTTACACCCAGGGCTGCACGTCCAGCATCAGCACTGTCCCCCAAAAGGACTGGAGCCCCCTGGACTCTTGGGTCCCCCATAGAAGCAGGGCACTGGCAGCAGCCCAGGCTTTTGGTTCCCAGGAACCGCAGCGGCGAGAGGAGTAACAGCACCATCTCCCACCGGTACTTGGGAGCTGAAACAGGCATGATCCTGCCCAGCACTGCACCCCCCGGCTCCCTGGACCCCAGGCAGGATGATGCTCGGTGCCCAGGGACACCCAGCTGTCAGCAGGACCCCCACTGAGCCCAGAGCCAGACAGATCCAACACCATTCCCCATGGTAGGGGCTCAGCATGCTCCAGAGACTCTCCTGAGAACCCAAGCTGGTGGGATGAACAATTTTATTACCGGTATCTCTTTCCAGGTGACAAATTAAGAAGTAGCCCGTGTGTGGGGCTGCCAGTTGGCAGGATGGGGACAGTCCAGGGAGCAGGAGGAACGACATGCTACAAGCCTGGTGACCAGGGACACACAGGTTAGTTTGGCAGCAGCGTGGAGGCGAAAGCTCTCCACCAAGCAGCAAGCCCACACGGGTCCCGCCGCAGGGCTGCAAGAAGGGTCGCAGCTGGGTTTGGCAGGGGACCGCAGCGCTCTCTCAGCAGCTGGGACCCTGTGCCAGGAACTGAGTGGGGTGGCTGTCCCCAGGGGGTCTCACAGCCAGGGGAAGCGTTTTGAGGGGCGAGATCCCATCCTGAGCTAGTACAGAGGTTCAGGCACCCGCAGACACTAGGTATGTGGATAGCCCAGAGGCCACACAGAACGGGCTCTCGGTTAAGGCGACAGACGGTGGCTCTCCCCCTTGGGGGGGAATGCAGAGAGGAGGACCATGGGGAAAGGGAACCTCTTCCAGTCCTGGCCATCCCTTGGTGCAGATGACAGCACAGAGGCTGGGTGTCCCCTCACGGCCGGGGGGTCCCAGTGCAGATCCTGCTCCGTGCCAGGGTGACACTGTGTACTGCCAGCCCACATCAGCGGGGATGGAGCCACGGGAGATGCTGCCAGCTGGACACAGCGCCCTGCGCTGCCTGCAGCCCCGGCAGCCTGCCAGGGAGATGGGGAACCTCTTGGCTGACCTTTGCAGCGGGTGCTCTGGCCTGGCTCACCCCATGCACCCTGCCCCAAGGGCGGCATCCTCCTTCTGATGCCTCAGGAGCTGCAGAAATTTTGCAGAGCCTGGGGACAGCCAGCTCCAGCCCCTCTCCCACTGCATGCCGACGGCACACAGGGGTGTTTGTACCCTGCAAAGCCATTCCAGCCTCGAGGGATGGAAAAGCAGGACACGGCTCCAATCGAAAGGCAGGAGACACAGGTATTAAAGAGAACTTGTGGTCTGTATTGCAGTGACCGCCATGGTCCCTCTGTCCTGGCACCCAGCTGATCCATGGGTAAGGACAGAGCAATTTGGGGCAGGCACAGGGGGTCTCCTGCTGCCTCTGCTAGAGCCTGGGCTCGGGGAGGAGGAGGAGGAAAAGGGAGGAAGTCTGGGAGGAGAGGAGCCAGCCATGCCTGGCAGGGCGCCCCAGCGAGCCGGGCTCAGCAGCCCAAGGTGCTGAAGAAGGCACTGGCTTCCAGGAGCAGACCCTTGGCGTAGACGCGCAGGGTATAGAAGAGGGTGACGAAGTCCTGAGTGCTGAAGAGGGTGTCAGCCAGGGCGAAGGCGAGCGTGGAGGGGATGAAGCCCCGGCCGTATTCCACCATCCAGGTGCCCGCACTCCACTGCACTGATGTGGCCTCTCCCGCCTGGTGCACGATGGTGTCCCCTGCCAACACACACAACCAGCACTGCTCGCGGTGGCTGCCCCACATTGCTCCCAAAGATGTGTGGGACGGGAACATGCAGGGCTGAGCGCTCCGGTCTGTGCACCCCAACCCTTCCCCAGTCTTGCTGGCTTTTCTCGCACTGGGACCCACTGTGATGCTGGGATATGCCCATGGGGACACAAATTGCCCCATCGTGAGCTCTTGGCTCCTGCCAGCTGTAAGGAAGAGGCTCTGCAACAGTGGAGGACCAGCCTGCAGAGCAGCCATGCCCCAGGACATGGATGCAGCCTGCAGGGCACCATGGCTTGCTGCGCTTACCTGGATAGTAGATCTCACTTCTGGTGGTCCCCTCCTTCCACTGCCGGAAGGTCCCCGAGATGACAGTGTCGGAGATATCTGCCCAGTACCGACCTGCGGGAGGATGGACAGCACTGGCTCAGCGCAACCCTGCTGGTGATGGCTTGAGGGCCCAGGTCCGAGCCACAGAGCAGCCCTCTGGGGGAAAGGATTCCATCCCCAGGGCCTCGACACACTGAGAAGCGCAGCCAGGTCTGGTACCCAGGCTGCCTGTGTGATTGGCCATGTCCCACCAGCCCGGGCTACTCGGTGTCCTTAAGCCCCATCGTTTCCAGCGTGTTTGGCATTTGCTCCCTGCTGAAGCACCGGGAGATGTGATGCCTGCCACCGCCTGCCAGCTGGATGCGGAGAGTCCTGGCCACACGACATGGCATGCACAGGGACCTGCAGGACACAGTGGGGGCTGGTCCCACACGGAGGGTGTGTTCCAGCATTGTGCCCCCCATAAAAGAAGCAGAGCAGCAGCGTCCTGCCCCAGGCACACCATGGCCAGGGCAGCCAGACCCAAACGAGCAGAGTGGGAAGAGCTCAGAGAAACTGAGGCATTGCCTGCCCGCCAGTAATGACCCTGCTTACCTGAGTGGCCCCCGGTGTCGACAGCTGTCCCGAAGAGAAGCACGTACTCGGTGAGGGAAGCGTGCAGGAGGCACATGGAGCCCATCCACCCGCCCGCATTCACGAACACCCACTGCAGGTCCTCATCTGGCAGGATGTGGCCTGGGTGCTTCTTCCGTAGCTCTACGATGATCTTGGAGAAAGCCAGCTCATGGTCCAGCCCTGCAGCACCCGGGGTTGCCCTGAGTCCCTGGCATGGAGCAAGCTCTGCTGGCCCCCCCTGAATCCCTTCCACAGCCACAGGGTGCCAGCACATCCTTAGAGGGGTCTGCCTAGGGAAGATGTCTCCTCTCTCCAGCCTTCAGCCCCTCTGACTGCTGACCCGGTCCTGCTGCCTCCCTGGACGGTGACGGAGGATGCGCAGCACTGAGCGCTCCAGCCCTATAGCCCACCCTGGTTGCTGGGCTGTATGGGGCATCCAAGCAAGGTGACAGCGACCTGGCGACATGCAGCCCCTCTGCTGTGACTGCACGCCCTGTGCCCTGCGGGGCCAGCCCTCCCCTCCAGCCCTAGCTGGGGGGTCGGTTCTGCCCCCAACTCCCCTGGGGCTTGGTCCCCCGACCCGGCCCAGCCCCATCACCCGGGGAGCCGCCTTAACCCCAGGTTTAGCCCCAACCGGGCTGGGTGATGCTGCTGCCCCAGTCCCCCGCTTCGCTCCAGCCCATTCCCCCACCCCACTTCCCCCACGCTCCCCGCCCC